ACTAAGAAATCTAATATTATTTTTTCTAACAGAACTTGGATTTTAGCTCAAGTTCTAAAGAAATATAAACTTTGGTATTTAGAAAATATAAGAAACAAAAAAATTATATTTCTAGCTAGCTTACAAGTAAAGAATAATAATAAAGAAAACTTTGATACAACAGCAAATATGTCTAAAAAGAATACTAATAACAATAACTTAAAGCAAAAAAAAACTCTAAATAATCTTTCTACTTGGAATGAACAAGTAACTCAAGAACTTAAAAGAGAAAAAACAAATTTACTACAAGAAATAAAAGAAAATAGTGATAACCAAAACAAAACAACTAAAGAAAAAACACATAATTTTCTGCAAAATAATTTAGATATGATTAAAACAACAAACATATATATTATATCAATAAATGAATCTCTTATAGAAACTAATACAAATGCTCTGAGCTTTCAGAAAACCAAAAGAAATCTTAGTCTAGTTTATTTGCAAAGGTTGAAAAAGGTCAATAACTTTTACTTCATACTCCTCTAGAAGTACTATTAGATCTAAGAATAATAATACCTTAGTTCTAAATATCAGTAGTTTAAACTGCTCTTTGAATAATATTATGATCTCTCTTTACGAGAATATAAAAAGTAATATAGTTGCAGCTAAGCCTTATATTAACAAAGAAATCTGTACTTATTTAGAAATTATCTTTGATAACAAAGAAAAATTACAAGATTATACAGTTAAAGAAGTAGAAATCTTTAATAAAACATATTTTAGTTCTATTCTTACAGACAATAAAAGATTATTTCTTCTAGTCAAAATCAGAAATATACCTCTATTAGATAAGAAGCTAGTCTCTGAAGCTATTAAGAAAGCCTTCAAGGATATGAGAAAAATTGCATTTATTAAACTACTCTTAATTGAAAATACTCCTTATCTAACTGACCAATAGGTTATTATTTTTGATACTACTAATTATCCAAATCTAGAAAAGAAAATTCCTCACTTCTATATTCTGCTTGAAAACAAGATTACTTCAGAATAAAAATTAGCTCCTAAAGTCTGCTTCTTTTGTGATAAAGAAGGTCATGTTAAAAGAGACTGCAAGCAATATAAAGAAGCAATAGTACTCAAACATCAATTTAAAGAGTATCAGAATAATAAGAATAAAAAAAAAACTCCAGAACTTGCCTCAAACTCTTTAGAAAAAAAAGCTATATTAGCTACTTCTTTATCACAAGAAATGAGTATAGATAAAACTTTAAAAGATAGATCTATAAAAGATCAAAAAGAAGTCTTGATAGCTAATAAAAATAATAATCTGACTAATAAATTAGAGAAACAGAGCCTACAGCTTCAACTTCTGTATATCCAAATATAGAGAAAACTCTAGAAAATCAAAAGGCAATTGCTGCAAAAAACACTAACTAAGAACTATTACAAGACAAAGCTTCACCTATGATTATTATTAAGAATAATAATTATGAACTTCAAGAACTTGATTATACTGAAGGAGAATATATAGTTACTACATACAAAAGAAAAAAAGATAAAAAGAAAGTATCTGTACAAAAACAAGAAGAAACTCGAAATACTCCTTATAAGAAAAAAATCTATAATAAGAACTAGAATATGCAGATCTAAAAACTCTATCTTATATTAACCTCTATAATTAATAATCTAAAATTAAAAATTGTAACCCTTAATATTAAAGGACTAAATAATCAACAGAAACAAAGAAATATACTTACTCTTCTTAAACCTTTTAACTTAGACATTATCTTGCTTCAAGAAACAAACCTTAATAACAAAGATACACAAATCTTCTTATAACAACAATAGGTTTTCAACTCAATATAGCTAAAACTCTAAAACAGAAGCTAATAGCAGAGTCCTAATTACAACTTTCAGTTATAAGGATCTATTCTTCTAATTCTCCAATATCTATATGCCTTTTAGTTAAAGTGAAAGATCAATTTTTTTAACAACTAGTCTCTTTAAGTTAAAGAAAATGCTATTAATATTATAGCAGAAGATTTTAATACTAATCTCTATTCTAAATAGAATAGAATTAGTGAATCTCTATTACAGAATAATTCAACTAGAATTTAGCTTAAAAATCTAATTAAAAACTTTATTAACTTCTCAGAACTCTTGACTAACAAACTATTCTATACCTTTTTTCAAAAAACAAGAGGAAATAGAATAATGACAACTTATCTAGACTATATTTTTATAGATGAGAACTATGTATACTCAATTTAATAAACTAATACAAGATATAGTAACTCAGACTGCCTTCTAGTAGAATGTCTATTAAAATTCAATCTGAAAACAAACAAGTTACTATTATAGAAATTCAACAAAAACTGCTTCCAAAATGAGAGACTAAAAAAAGAGATATAAGAAAAAATACAAAAAAATGAAAAAACAAATAACTAGAACTTATGCAAAATATATATTTAGTAAATTATAAAAGCTTTCAGAAAGCCAAAAGCATTAGAAAGCAAAATTTCTTCACTCAATGAACAAATTACTCGAATAAATAAAAAGCTAGCAAAAAATTCAATAAATATATATCTCTCTACTCAAGTAGACAATCTTAACTCCTGATTACAAGAACTTACTCTTCTTGTAGAGAAATAGCAACTATATTTCAAAATAAAATGAATAGAACAGGTTAAAAAATTAATAAAATATTTCTTTTCTAAATATAAGTCGAGAAAATCTTATTTAGCTCTTAAAGAAATTAAAGATTCTTCAAATATAGCTCAAAATAAAAATAGTACCTATTATATATTAGAAAAAAAATATATGAAAATCTACAAACATGAAGAAATAAACTCAGATGTAGCAAAAGAAATTATTAAAGAAGCTCTATAAGTTTTGGAAATACAGAATTCTTTGCTCATACAAGAAATTTCTCTGAAGGAAATAAGGAACACAATTAGAAACAACAAGTGACCTAGTTTAGATAGCTTTACTTATAAGTTTTACAAACTCACAGAACAAGCAATTACTCCACTTTTACATCACCTTTTTAATCAAGTAATGTGTTCAAATATATTATCTAAATTTTAATATAAAAATCTAATTATATTTATTCTGATAAAAGCTTCTGATTTAAAGAATCTAAACAACTAGAGGCCAATTTCACTTGTAAATAGTGATGCAAAAATTTTTATAAAAATTTTAGCAAACAGACTAAATATAATATGCCAAGAAGTAATATCTTTACATCAACAGAGCTTTGTTAAAAACAGATCAATTTCAGATACAGCAATGGATATTATTATAATTCTAAGAAATTAATAAGATAATACAAAACAATATTAAATTCTCTTCTTAGATCAACAGAAAGTATTTGATTATATAAGTCATAATTTTTAGAACTAGTCTTAAAAAAAATGAACTTTGACAACAGGTTTATCACTTTGGTAAAAAACCTTTTTTTATATCAAGAAATACATATCCTCAAAACAGGAAAGCTTTCAAAAGCTTTTAGAATAGAAAGAGAAGTAAGACAGAGAGATTCACTCTTATCTCTCTTGTTATACTTGCTTTTGAGCTATTATTACTAAATCTGAAAAATAACCTACAAGATATCAAACTAAGATACTAATTCTTCAAACTTATAGTAGTCCGAGTAGTAAGAGAAAAAATAGTCAATATTATATGAGTCTGGAGTAGAAGTAACTAAAGTAGGCATATTAGTAGAGTATTCAGAAGATATAGAAATAGAAAAATA